CGTTGCTGAGAGAAGCTTCATTTTGAAGATCTTCGTCACTATAATAACCCATCTGGTCCTGGTTCTCTTAGAGGTTGAGGTTGCAGCGTTCTTTCATTCTTCAAAACATGATGATCCCTGACTTCTTTCCTAAATTGGAAAGCAAGTTCAGAAGGGTGGTGAAGAATGCAATTTGGTAACTAACCCTTAATGGTTATCAAGCTCGACTTCGTCAAGCTGTACTCCTCTCGGCGACTCTGTGGTGGAGCATGGACTATTGGCATCGGCATAACCGGGAGGAAGAAGCTGAGGAACGGGCTGCAGCATATTTCGATTTTTGTTTCCGTCGCGGTCCTCTCCGTCGCCAAAATATACTACGTCGTGGTGTCGATCATGCCTCGTCGGCCTTCTTTTTTCCTCCTTGGACCAAACAGTTCTTTGTTCTTCGTGTGTTACATCAGCTTTCCACTCTGGAAAGCCGTAATTTTCTCCCATGCTCTTGAGCGCCAGTATCCAATCCACTCTTTCGCTTTCGGGTCCTCCTCCTCCTTTCGCGGCCACAGTTCGCAGTGCACTTCGCGGTCGCCGAAGTTTCAGGTAAGGTTCTTGCACCACTCGGGCTGCGACGCTGGACCGCAAACTAGGTGGGAGAATCGCTGTTACTTCCAAAACAAATTTCTCGATTGGGCGACATCGATTCTCGTATGAGACACCAGCCGTGGACCCATCTCCTGACAAGACAAGTTCATACGAAGCATCCACTACCTCACTCACATGTGCCTTGCCATAAGCGTCTTCGGATGCTGCGTCGACAAATTTCCCAACCAGGATAGCAGCTGTAAGTCGGGCATCCAGAGCCTTTGTCGCATTCTGAAATATCTCTAAACCTGCACAGAAACTCTTTCCCGGGATTGTTGCCAAAGTAGTCGACGTTAGCGCCAGAAGCCGAGGGACGCTTGTGCCAGAGGTGTACATTCTTATGTCGCAACATGACGATTTCTTCGTTGTCTTCGTCAAACTCAGAAGTTGTTTTTGCAGTTCTCCAGCTTCGTCGGTGACAAATTGAGATAGACTCTTGCCAATTGTGGATGCGTAGCGGGTGTCCCATTCTGGAAATAACAAGTCTAAATCCATCAGAAACGGAGCGTTATGAATGCGCTTTGCCACTAGATCTAAAACTATCTGGACGTGACGAGGATTTCCCATCTCATCATAAAATGGGTGTTCTGCACGGCTCTTCCCTCGCGCCATTCTCGCCAATGCGAGCGGCAAGCTTTCAACGAGTGTCTCGCAACTCCTGCTGGTGTAAGCAGTAACCCTCCAAGAGGAGGACGAAGACGTGCTAGTGTCGTTTGCATCCCTCCTGCCCGCCCTTCCAAGGACAGAGTTTAGTGAAGTCCTCCCTCTAATCGCCTGTTCGACGATGCCGCAGATGTCCTCCTCTTTGACGCCGGGGAAGCGCGCAGCGCGCAACAGAAAACGGAGCTCCTGCGCCATAAGATGGCCAATCTCTTTGTCTACGGATGTGTAGTTTTCTACACGACCATCTTCTTCTAGGGTGGCCAAAAAATCGTCACACAAACTTCGCATTTGCATTGCCACACGGCTCTCCGCGCACGCGATCCCAGCTGCTTCGAGAACGTTGTCAATGTTTTCAGCCCAGAAGCGAGTGTCTACGCCTGTCTCTAGTACAACTCCTCCAGTAGAGCGCGAGTACTCTTCACACAGATCTTCTTCCACTGCTGCAAGCCATGACAGCAGCATTGGAATAGAAACTTCTGAGTGCTGCCCGCCTCCTCCCGCCATTCTACTCAGTCGATCACACACTTCTTGAAGCAGCACTTCTTTGGACAACGACGTCGACAACATCGTCGTGTTCCTAGAAGAAGTGCTACGTCCTGGGCGAGGGGAGTGAGACTCTCGTCTTCCTTTCTTCATGTCCAATGGTGTTGTGGCCTCATCTTCGCCTGCAGCCCCATTGGATCGTCTTGTTCGAGGAGTTTTTAAACCATGATCGTTGCTTCGCGATACTGAGAGCTGATCTTGTTCTACTTCTCGGTCATCACATGGTGAACTGCTGTAGGTCGTTGTCGGCGATGCTCTTTTGTCGAAGGATGTTGACGAGGAACTAGTTGTTGCACTCAGACGCAGCCCATGATCTCGATGTTGTTGCGACGAAACTACAGCTCCAACAATCTGTCCCAGCCCTTCCGACGCAGACCTCCCACTGCAGATCGTCAAGAAGGAAAACGGAAGTTCCGCAGGTTTTATTCCGTAGCCCTCGACCATCGTCGAAAATTCCCTTTCCGCGTTGCACAAAGCGCGAAGAAAACACGGCTCAGATTTCGTATGACGTGCTAGAAGTTCTGCCAAATCGATATCATGTAAGTCTGAGCTTCCCTTTTCAACACAGTGGCCCTTGATACCCACTTTGCCCATGAACGAAGAAACCATTTCCAAGTCTAAACCCATTTTTTTCCTATCACCTCCAGCGGAACGACCCCTTCGCATAAAGCCATCCACGACCCCTTTGCTTTCGACATCGACGAAGTCCGAATCATGACCATCCGCCGTTCCTGGTAATAAGTCTGATCCCATTTGTGGTCTCATGTCATCGATTTCTCTATTCAGTAGGATGAGAATCTCGTCAAGGACATGCTTCTGCGGGACTTTCATTTGCGCACTGAGCGAGATTTCTCTATTTTTCTCCCTGATTATGTCCGCAAGTCGAACGTGTAAACGATCACGTAGTAAACGCAATTCCGTGTCATCCAGGTCCGGAAGAAGCTTGGTAGTTGTACTAGTTCGGTCTGTTGACGTTCTACAGAGATCAGAGAGATTACCTCCGTGCTTGTTTTCCTTCGTCTCCTGTTCTTGCTGGTGGAGGCGGTTTAGCAAGCAATAAAGCAATGGAACGATGGTCATGCGGACAAAAGCATCCAGCCGGACGTTCCATTCATCGACCGACGCTGCCATCTGAGCCTTGACGCCGTCTTCCGTATGAAAGCTGCTGGCACCACCAAGCGAAACACGTACCAGCACACTGGTGCGGGCACCTCCAGATAGTTCATCATCCTTTTCGTGAGTCAACACGCCCTCTCTTGTTCTTGTTGTTTCTTCCACCAACTCGCCATCCCCGCACACAGATTCTTTAGATGCCTCACCGAGCTCAAAATACGTGTGAGACGGGCCTCCAGATGACGTGGACTCAGAGTCACTTTCACGAGCTCGAGCGGAAGGAGAAGTAGACTCAACCTGCGAGCAACTGAGGTTCAGTCCCACGTCGGTTGCGCATAGACTCGACAGAAGTGCCAACTTCTGAGCAAGTACTACAGCGCCTTCGCCTTGACCAGGAGCTTCCGTGAACGTATTCAAGAGGGCTTCCCACGTTTTCGCGTGCACTACTTTCGTGAGACTCTTTACTTCTTGCATTTCAGGATCCGCATTCTCTTCGGCTTTCCATACGGCCTCCGCGAGCACCCTTGCGTCCTCCCTCCGGTTTCTTTTCTGTCGATGGCGATAGGCAAGCATGACCCACTTGTACAGATTCTCTTGGTTAATGAAAATCCCGTAGTTGAAATAACTCGGTAATTTGTCTTGTTTCGCGAGCAGTTCCAGACCAGTAGCTATGGTCCAGTCTTTCGCACTACGTTCCGGACAGCCTTCCACTTCATGCGCAGTTGGGATAACTTGGACCAGCCGCGCGATGAGCTTATCAGAAGAAATTTCGACAATCTCTTCTTTCCCGGCTGGCAGTTTGTCCAACTGAAAGTTCGCTCGCAGCAATGGATGTTTTGCTAAGTCACCCAAATTGTCAAGATTCTCTTTCGAACCAATCGATTTTGCCCTGACTAGAAGACATTTGAGGTCAAAAAACGTTAAAAACCCATGCGACGCAAATGCCACTTGCAAGTTTGCATCCAATACGCCCGAGACATTCAAAAGGCCAGTGAGAAGTTGACACCAGCTAGTCTCCGACTGGTCGCATCGGAGCATAGAGGCAATGTGGGGGAAGCGGAAAGCCGCACAAATAAACTCCGCCTCCTCGCGCAATAGCTCCGACGTGAGAAAATGCCCTGCAAAAGAAGGAAAATTAAAACTGCGACAGGTTGGCTGCTAGACCTAAAAGTTATGGGCCTCCTGGCAAGATAACGTAGCTACAAGATCTGCATCTGTGTGATCAATCAAGAGATCAAATGTCAATCAATAGACTGATTACTACCTTCTTGCCGTATTCTGCCCAATCGCTCTAGCAGTGTACTTTTCACCTGTTCTGCCTGCTCGCCGGACATTCTTCCTTTCGACCCGTTGTTTCCCTTCGCAAACTGGTTATAAACGGCCTTCCCGCTACGAGCGATCGCGATATACGGATTCGGATATTCATTATCGGAAGCCGAAATTGGAGCACCAGCTGCAGGAGGGACGGAGGCAACCGAAATTCGAGCACCAGCTGAAGCAGGGCCGCGATAAAACGGCCGCGACGCTGTCGCTGGAATACTAAAGCCGCTCGATGCATTCCTCGTCTTCGCGGCCACTACAGTTCGCCAGTTGTCATCCGTGTCTGCGCTGCCCGGGGCCAACCGGGACGCGCGACTCTTTGTCTCTTCTTTAGTCATCTTATCTCGATGTGCAGGGAGAACATGAGCCCATTGTTGTAATCTTCATGTCTTACTTCATGTCTACTTTAGATTTTTTTGAATGAATTGTTCCTACAAGAACTCACAAATATATCTCGAGTCCTCCTCTCGCTTTCTCCTATTCGAGCAAAAAAGGTCTCGTAGCGGTAGCTCTGACGTCAGGCCCGGCCCTGGGCATCATCATCTACGATCAGGATCTGCACGTGATAGCTGCGAAGACTCAGCGCGAGAGATCTAGAAACCTCAATATGGAGAGAGGAAGCGGATCCCTGATCCGCGTGATCACAGCATGTTGAAGAGAAAGTTGAAGCACGACCCCGTGAGGAAGAAGGAACACTCTTGTAAACTAACATAGTCTTTGCAACATACATAGTCTTTGCAACACACTCTTGTATTATTGCGAACATAGTCTTCTTGGCAACTCCGGAAAAAACATGTTCTTTACAGGTCCTTTTCTTCTATTACAAGCAGTCAAATTCAGAATCATATTTTCTTGTCTGCAACACTCACACCCCAGTATTTTCCATCCACCCTACCGCCGCGGCTGCTCTACATACAACATATGTACTATTCTATTCATCCCCCTCCGCCAATATCCTCCCAGCCGCTTCGAGACCCTCAATTTCGTTCTGCCTGCTCGTTTTCTTGTGCTCGTATTGTCGTGATATCTTCGCGCACAACGACTCCTTGCCAAATTGCTTCTCCTTCTCCTCTTGTAGACCAGAAAGCTCTTTTTCCAGAAAAGCGAGATCCTTCCCCTTGGCCTCATTCTGTTCTGCCTTGGCGCGACTAGTTAAAGCGGACAAATCGGCAACTTCGCTGTCCATCTCTTCGATCGCATCAGAGCGTAAGGAGTCCTCCTCTGTATGCTTCGCGGCTGCTTCTTTTTCTTCCTTCTGGAGGACTTGCAAGGAGATGAAGGAGGGAGGGGTTGGAGAGAAGGGGAGGAAGAGAGAATTGGAGATAAGATAAAAAGGGGAGACCACTTTAGGGGAGAGAGAATTGGAGATAAGATAAAAAGGGAAGACCACTTTAGATTCGTTGAACATGACATGTTCAAGCTCATCAAGAAGTGGCAAGATAAAATTCTAGAAAAAAAAATATTATTTGATTATACGGCTATTCATGTTAGTGTCTGTCTATGTCATTTCAAAACACCTTGACACAAGCTCATCAAGAGGTGGCAAAATGTAATCTTCAGAGACACAAACGATTCGTAAATGTCATTTCTCCTTTCGTCTTCACTTCTTTCAACACATGGATGGTTTTCGCCTTCACGTTCTTCTTCTGCAATGCCGTGATGGCTTTGAGGAGTGCACGACTTATCGTGCTCTCCTTAGCCAATTCCTCCACGAACCGCTGTTGTTCCTCCGTTCGCTCCTCGTGTGCCGCTTTCTGCTCTTCTCTGCGCTTTGCGACTTGGCTTCTTTTCTCAGCTAGGTCAGCAGATAGGCGGTCGCATTTTGCGTCGAGGTCATCGAGGCGTTGACGAGTGGTGTTGAGTTTCGCTTCGACCTCAGCAATTTTGCCAATGTTCTCTTCCATCTTCTCCATACACTCTGCGCGCAACGCATCGCTGTCCTCTTGATCTTGTTGCACTTGTTTTATCATCTCCCGAGATGCAGCGATGACCTCAGCGAAATCACCACCAGACGAGGCTGCATACGTGGCTGACGTGGTAGTTGCATCATCTTGACCTTGATCTTCTTCTTTATCATCATCTTGATCTTTATCATCATCTTCATCGTCCCCATCTTCCACTACAGCATTGGCCGTTTGTGTCTGTGTTGACCGTCCTCGCCTTTGTAGGAAGGAGATGACAGGTGAAGTGGAAGAAGAAGTAGAGGGAGTAGTACTAGCTTCATCTTTGTCAGAAGTAGCGCTACAACGTTTGACAAAACGATGTTGTTCAACGTCGTATTCGTGGATGCAGTCATTCTTCTCCTCAGCACGACGTCCATGGTGAGCTTTCTTGTGGTTGTGCTTGTGGAGGACCTTCCTTCTAGTTTTATGACTCACATGCAGAAGTCCTGTCTTCTTCTTCTTCATTGCAGCTCTCTTTTTGTGCTTGCTGTTCTCCTTGTGGTTCTTGTGCACAACGTTCTTGTTTGATGTCCTGGCTGCAGCAGTCTTCTGTGCCGTTGCTGATTGCTTTTGCACTCGTCCACCACCATTTTCCTCCGCCAAAGCCCCCTCCACGAAGTCATCTGCCATCTCATCTCCTTTCAGACTACTAGTACGCTCTGCTTCCTCAGCTGCCTTCTTCGCATCATCTCGTTGCATTTGCAAGAGCAGTTTCTTTCGGCGTTGCTCGGCAGCTTCTTCGCGTTTTTGCTTAGCTTCGCGTTCTCTAGCTCGTTTTTGAGTGTCTTTGAGCTCTAGGAGGGCTCGGGCTTTGGCCTTGGCGATCTCGTCGGATTCGCCATTAGAGGGGTCAACACATTTATACAAGGAGGATGAAAATTGTAGATGAGCAAGCAACTGTCTAATAGGCTTTGAAGCGGAGAGAACAGTGCTGGAACAGAGGAAATACATCTAGAGGTAGAATACCTGAGCGGAAGTCGGCAATCATGTACTATCAGAAAAAACCGGGGGGAGGGAAAATAAATCAAACACTGTAGAAAGGCATAAGCAAAGCCTCCAACGCTAACCTTATCCCTTCGAGCTGTTCCTCTAAGGCCTTTTTTTCTCTATCGTGATCGGCTTCTCTTTCCTTGCATTCAGCCTCGATGCGTGCTAGCTCTGGTTCTGAGGTGGCTAGGAATTTCTTCGCACCTTGTAGTTTTTGGAACAGCTCGCCTTCTTCCTCTTTGGCGTCAGCCTGCGCTTGCTGCTTTTGGCCTATTGAAGGGGGTTGAAGAAGGATGTGGGTATTAATTAAGCCAAAGAAGGAACTACTCCTGGAACGTCGAAGTATCATTATGATTTTATTTTATGAAGCAAGTTCTTATAAGTGTGGGTATAGAGGAGTATTGTCTTTGACAGGTCAAGTTGTAAACACCGGAAAGGATAATGACACCTCGTCATAAATCCAATTTCTTCTGCAACGTGTTCAATTCCTCATTCCGCGATGCTTTCATCTTCTGAAATGTTGCCACGGACTTTGCCTCTGCTTGTCTCGATTCCGCAAGTTGTTCCTTGGCTCGTACACCCATCTGCTTCAGCATTCCAGCGATTTTAGGAGCAGTTCCAAGCTGCTGAAACACTAGAGGTTCATGTACTGTTTTCAGGTGGAGTGCATTTTCTAGGACAGAAGCGATGGAGAGTTAGAGTCTGCGACTCGATTGCATCTCGGCCACCCTTTTCTTGGGGTCCCTTTACTACCCCTGTATCATTTCATAGATATTTTACCTTGTAATATTCATAGGAATTTAATACAAGGGAACAAAAGGGTACCGAGATGCCGAGAAAGACGGACACTATAAATGTTGACCTTAAGAGAGCCAAGGTGAAGATGGTGATGTTTTATTCATGGCAGTAGTGGGTCTGATTCCTGATCCTGCTTGCTGGCGCGCCTTCAACAGCAATGTCGACAATTGAGCAGCAACGGTCTTCGCCTCAGGTGGCTCTCCGTTATTCTTCTCAGAAGCAGTACTACTTCCGCCACCACCGCCGTTTTCAGGAGGACCACCAAGCAACCCCGCCGCTTCCTCACACGTCGCCTCCAAATCCTGCAAGTTCCTTTCCTCGGTGATGAATTTCGTACGTTCATCTTCCCGATGCTTTTCAGCGGTTTTGATGTCCTTTTCAGTCCTTTTGAGGTCTGCTGTCAGAGGTCCAATCTCTCCCTTGAGCCGTCCAAGAAGCCCGACCACGGTTTCGAGAGCTCCCTTAGTTTCAGGGAGTTGCTTTTCCTTCACCTCCGCCACCTCCTTCCTCAAATCGGCTACCTCCGCAGTGCAAAGACAGTGCACCTTATCCGCTGCTTTCCCTTAGGGTTTGAAAGTTGGCCCTCCTCTAGTAGGTCGTATACCTATGTATACGAAAAACTGAAGTAACCGAGTTGCTGACTGAAATAAATGAGGCTTGCAACCCTTAATTGACAACGGCATCGAGTTCCCTGTTGGTCTCCTTCTCGACATCCTCCAGCAGGCGGACTACAGGGCCAAGAACTTCTGAGTCATCTGCAGTCTTGGTCGCGGTGGCAGAGAAGGTGCCGGTCGTGAGTAAGCAGAGGCAGCAGAGGCAGTAGTTGATGGCGAGACTGAGCAGACACCGAGGCCCAATGCCTCGAGGCGGGAAACTCAGGAACATTTTTTTGATTGATGTAGTCTGTAAGTCTGGGAGATGAGGTAGGCTTTTTGGGAGAGGACTTCTGATTAAGTGGGTGGAGGGCATTTTTTGTAAAAACATTGATGCAAGTGCTCCGCTCATCGCAGCGCTCACTTTTTTCGAATTTTCTGGGAGTCAATACTCTCTCACAACCGATCGTGCATTTCTTCGTGCTGCATAAACACGAGTGATAGTACATCCAATACAAAAACTCAATTCCAAATTTTCCAAATCGTTTGAATACAACGACCTTTATTTCAACATCTTGAAAAAATGCATGTTCTTTGTTTAATCGAGTTTACTTCATCGAATATTTCAAGTTCTTGGAAACGATACTACGTTTTTTATGACTGAGTACGAATTTACTACTTTTATCGAGTCTTCCTCGACACTCTGAATAGGAAATTTCCAAACTGACACTTAACACGAGAGTGTATCACTATCCTCTTCCTTGCGTCTATGCAAACCCATTCTATGTTTGAAAACTTGCAATACAGTGAGATGACGTTATTTGTTGATGTGTCAAAGAAATTCAGTATGTTGAACATTTGAACAAATATCAATGGTACAAGTTTTTTATCGTGTGCAGCATTATTCTCTCATCTAAATCATGCTATACCTGTAACTGCTTTGAGAAATTAGGAATAAATATTTATGAACATCAGAATGCAGAATGATTTGAATTTTAGCTGCTTACTAAATCTATGGCGATTGAACGCGTTCTGCTATTGGAATTTTGTATTTTCGTGGAACAAGTACATTCGGACCATCTCGTACGACCACAAGATAGCTATTCATAGCTATTTTGCTGATCCTCGATGTAAATCATCTATGTGAAAAATTACTATAACGCTATTCCTACTACTTTACAGGACGATTAATAAAGCGGATTTCAATCCTCCTGCCCATCATTCCGCGAGCAGAAATCAGCTGAACTATCTCGCCCTGCTTCTACCTTCTCCGTGTTGTCAGCGCCGCTCTCTTCGACAGCAGCGGTTCGAGCGGTATCGTCTTCCCGACACTTTCCCACAGACTCGTTGTCGCCCCTTCAGTCAAAAACTCGGCCATAGGACGGTCGAGCCAACCGATCTTCGGCGCTGCATACTTGGTATTCATCTGCGGACTAAGGCTGTTCTTATTCTTGTTAGAAGCAGAGTAGTGACCCTTTTTATTGTGATGTTTGTTGGAGAAAAGATCATGAAGTCCGCCTTGTTTCTCATTTGAAGCAGATGAAGATGCTCCACCAGTCCCTGCTGTTGACTCCTTGATCTTTTCCGACGACAACGCGAAATCGACGCCCTGCACTGTCGTTTCCTGAATGTCACGCGGTACGTGAAAGTCTACTCCCTGAACTGTTGTCTCGTCGATCTTTCTGGGGACGTGGAAATCAACGCCTTGCACGATCGAATCCGCAACGACCATATCAGGAGGCAGAGCGAAATCTACGCCACCAAACATGTGCACCGTATTATGTTCCACAGTCAAAGTCCGATCATCATCGAAGCCCACGTGGCTAGATCGTAACCGTTTGACGAGCGTCGGGATGAGCATTGGATAAGGCTGTTGTTGCTGATGTTCTTGAAGATGCCGATGATCAGAAGTACCAGAATAACTATTTGCAGCTCGTTCAATATCAGAACCTGCTCCCAGACGAGAAGTACAACTGGTGCTACCAGGGGAATCAGCATGGTGTCTACCTTCTCGCAACAGGCCACTAAGCATCTGGTCTTGCAGCTCTGCCGCATCCTCAGATTCTACGCTGGCCATCAAAGCGTCCCTGCGTCGACGAGCATTAGCCATTGCCGGAGAGGAAGCAGCATGAGGATGTTGAGAGCTACTTCCTAGCACCATACTGCTCAATGACAAATTATGAGATGTAGTACCAGAACTATCATTTTGACCAAATCTCGGCTCCCACTGACTCGCTCGTGGCGTACTCTTGTTCCACAAACTACCATTCGCTGTATAAGAGGAACTGCTCCAATTCGATGAAGCCTCTGTTGTCGCTGGTATCAACCTTCTTGTCAGAAACGGCATCTGCTGTTGCGTGGTTCCCCCTAGTATACTACCAGAAGCTGAAGATGAACTTCCGGTGGCTGGATGAAAGCCAGATGATGTGACGCTAGTGCTCGTCATCGCCAAGTCAAACTTGTTCACATTACAGCTAGTTGACGAGGAACTACTGTTATGAGCTGCATTCCTTCTGCGCTGGTGATTCATTCCAAATGTAGTCGTACTACTGAGCAGTCCGGACGAACTGTGAACGGGAGAAAAAAAGCCTGCTGGCGACGTCGTGGTGAACACAGCACTGTTGTTCTGCATCTGAACTCTTGCTCCAGCTAAATCACCAATACTACTAGTTGAGGAAGAAAAACCCGGTCCTCCCATCGTATCTGGTGGCGCAGCAACCGTAGAGGCAGTTGTTGTTGTGCCACCACCTGCTCCGGCTTTATATTTGCTTAGTGCTACAACTGTTCCGCTTTTACCACTGCTGCTACTGCTGCTGCTACTACTGCCACCACTGCCGCTACTCGCGAGTGGAAAAAAGCCGTCACTGGTCTTAGAGTGTTGAGCAGCAGCTCCGTAGTTGTCCGCTCCGAATGTTATTGATTGTGAATGACGACCACCCGAAAGTGGAGAATGAGCTCTACTCGGCTCTTTAGGACTTCTACGTCGATCAGTTCTCGCCTGCCGACTAACGCCCATCGGAAGCGTCGACGACTGTTTTGTTTTCTCTAGTCTCGCCGCTTGACGAGCTAAAGCTGGAGGCAAAGGACTAGAGATTTGATGGCCCTTTGAGGGCACTGCGACTCCAGGAGGGCCCATAGTATTCTGTGACACTGTCACGGCTCCTCCGACTTGCTGTTGCTGCAGAAGCTGCAGAAGTGGAGCTACGGAAGTCGCTGTTAGCTTATCTTCACGAATCATGGCACTTGGATTTGCTGGCGTTCTCAGCATATTAATCCGATCCATGGCCACAGCTCGCATAGGCGAAACAGGACTCCAACTAGAAGTGAAGTCTGGTTTATTGGAACTAGAACTGCCTTGTTGGAATCTTGAACCGGGATTTTGAACAGTAGCTGACGAGAAACTAGCACCAGAATCGCTAGCCGCCGAACTACCCTCCATCGTGCCTGGTCTAGTCGTATCACTACCGTTATCTTCGGGAAATAAAGGTTCTTGGCTTATTTCCATGGGACCTGTACATCCCCTAGAAGGTGGTGGCGCTCGTGGGGGAAGATGCTGTTGTTGCTCTACTTGATTGATGTTCATATTGTGTCTATTCATCTTAGAAGAAGACGTTGGTGACTTCTCCTTTCCTAAATTCGCCACAAGATTTTTCGTTTCTTGCGCGATAAAGCTTGGTGCAGCGCGCTCAACTACAGGAGGATCAGTGCTTTTGTTTGCCGATGGAATACGACCTTCCTCGGGCTTTTGTCTCTTCATCTGCTCAGCAGAAGTATAATCAGTCGTAACAACATCCGTCTCCCCCGCTCGCTGTACTTTTGGTACGTCAGTGGTAGATAAAATTCCTGGCGCATCTGTTTCCTTTGCTTCTGAAGGTAGCAGAAAAGTCATATCTTCAAGTTCCGAATTTCGGACTGCCTTCTCCACACGTGAGGCTGCATTATTGACGATCGACGGCACCAGCTCCATAGACTCATTAGGATTTGTGTTCCCTTCTTGCTGCAGCCGCATCTTCCCAGTTCTTGTACTAGAAGCCTTCTTGTCACTGACTCCAGTTACTTTCGCCAAAGCCTTTCTCACCTCATCCGGTTTCATGTGCTTTGCAAAAGCGTCACGTGGATCCGGGAAATTGACGCTTGCTGATATCTTCCGAGGCTCAAACTGCTTCAACAGTCGCTCCGATGTAACCCGGAACTCCTTGTTGCTAATTAGCCACTTGGCCTGTGATACGGTGCATGAAATGGAGGTGTAGTAAGTTGGTGGGGTAGTCTTATCTTGGTGTATCGAGATCGACAGATTCCTTGTTTTGTTTTTTTTGGGTATATGAAGATTTTGACTTCCAGTACAACTTGTTAGTAGAGTTCATTCAACATCAACATCTTATCAATCTGACATTGACATAGTCTTAGTCCTTCTGACATAGATGTACTATAAAAAAACAAGTACCAACGTGAGCGATCTTGCCACTTCCACTAACTCAGAGACTACAGGGACCCTAGCGGCGATGTTTGGAAATCTGCGTGTGAACTCCTTAGCCTGCACAACGGCAGGATCCGAGGCTTTCGTAAACGGCGCATCCTTGTAGGTTCCAGTTTCCGGGTCTCTAGCTAGTCTTCTTGCTTCTACACGCAGTTTGACGCGAGGAACTAATACGAACTTTTCAGATGACTGCGGAGGTGGAGGTGGTGGCACAGGCACATGATTAGGTTGTTGTTGTTCTTGTTCTGTCGTGCTACTTTTACCAATACCATTTGTCATTTTCTCCGCTTGTTCTTCTGTGATTTCTATTGGTTGTGCTAAACACACAACGTGTGCTTGATCCAAAACAAACCACTGTCGTGACGCCACGAACCTTTCTTCATCGTTGTTGTGCTGTTGTATCCTGTTCCCGCCCAAGTACTTCTGTGTTGAAGATCGTGTTTTGCGCGTACTAGGGGATCGGAAACGGTTGTTGTTGTTGGGAGAAGGAGAAAGAAGCTGTTGAAGACCTCTAGTTGTACTTGTAGTAGAGGATGAGGATGTAGTTGCGGCATTCATCTTCGTTCGGTTCAACAGAGCTGCGTTCATCATCTGCTGATTTGCTGTCCTAGAAGCAGATCGCGGTCTTGCACCCGCACCTCGACTGGCACTACGCTCTCGACTAGTTCCGCGACTTCTACCTCGCCGACCCTGATGCTGCTGTTCCTCTGCTACACCAAATAACCGTTGCTCCTTTGCTCTACTTTGATGTTGCAATAGCTCTTCTGCTTCCCTGTTCGAACGAGAAGAAGCGGACTCATGTTGCAATGAATCGGACTCATGTTCATCTTGCAATAGCTTCGCAGGGACCTCGCCAAAAGAGTACTGTTTCAAAAAGTAATCCGCTAGAAACAACACTTCTCCGAGTGGCGTATCAGCTAGCCAAGGTGGATGAAAGCGCTTGACCTGTAGAGGCCCTCGTAGGTCAGTGGGATCCGCCGGATCGAGAGAGAAGAAGGGCTCGTGATCCTCGCACAACATCTTGAGACATTCGACTATTGGAGCTCTACTTCACCCTCATCCCTCTTGAGTTGTCCTCGCACAACATCTTGAGACCGTTATTTCCCCTTTTGAAAATAAACACGTCTCGGCGATGCTTCCGAAGAGGGATAAGGGGAAGCCTTAATACTAGGTAGTGAATGTTCACGGCAAACATTGAAGAGTCCGAGTTCGTCTGTTGTGGAGACGAACCGCTAGAAGCGCCTGTCACTGGCGCTAGACTGAGCGACTCGGTCGAACGGTCGTAGACCACACAAAACTGCGTCCTAGCACTAGTAGTCGGAGATTTTGGAGCAGTATAGTTGTTCTTGCAACGAGGACTGGCAGTTGCACAACCAGCATTTGCTCCGAGAGGACTATACGAAGACTTAACGTTAGCCCCAGCAAGAGTAAGGTCTTCAAATCTTCTAGGAGAGGAAGAAACTACTCTCTCTTCTGCTCCGTTGCGAGGGGATTCTACATCTTCTACAAGTTTCCTTTTTCCGGTCATCCCGCAAGTACTACTCCTTGTACTATAGAAACCGCCGTACTTAATGTTGTTATTGTTTCTATCCACCAATTGTAACTTCTCTAGACAGTCTAGACAGTCCCCACGCAATCTCTCCGGATCCCACGACCCTAGATGATGCAAAATTTCTAATTCGCGTCGCTGGCCGAACTCTTTCGACTCATCTGCGCGATTTTTGTACTCCTCCTTCTGCTGCATCAACACTCGATAGCAGTCCGGACAGGCAAAATACTTACGGAGTCGTGGCGGTCGCGAAGTGGTTGCCGTTGTGGCTGTTGTGGTTGCCGTTGCTTCTAGCGTAGTGCATGAAGACGAATGAATAGTCGTGGGAGAAACAACAGCTTCATCTTGTAGCACTCCACTTCGGGTCCTGGAGCCGCTTTTTGTAATTGCACCTTCTCCTTCCTCCGCTTCCTTCCCCGCTTCATCCACCTCCAATGCTGCTTGCAAAAAGTTCCCACGTCCTCCTCCTTTCATCATTAAGCTCCTTTCCCACTGAGCAAAAAACTCTTGTGTAGCCGGACACTCATCGAAGAAGGTTTTATCAAACGTGAAGTGACCCTTTTCTCCAAAAATCCCTGTCCCGCACAAAAAACAGCAGAAGCAGCGCTCGTGGATGGTCAATTTTTCCACTGTGCAGGTTTTCGACCCGACCATTGCCTCTCCGCAAGCCGCACATTTAGGGAAGCAGTTTTTGCAGAGGAATTCTTTGCCGGACAACTGGAGAAACGGACCATCGATGACGTTGTCACACTGCACGCAAGTAAAGCAACGGCCGTGGAAATAGACTAATTCCATCTGCTTCTTTGACGTTAATGCAGTAGACGTTGTTCCATGATTAGCAGACGTGGAAATCGAAGTGGTAGGAGGTTGTATTGTGGCTAATCTGGTGCTTTCCCTCTGCGGATGCTGATCAGGATCATTGTTCTTGCTAGTGGATGTTATAGCACCACTGTTTGCCATCGAAGGTGCTAGCGCTGCTTGAACAAAAGAGCTACTAGAATGCTGTTCATTTCGGCAACTTCCACCGCCTCCCAAAGGTAACGCACCCGTCGGAGGAGCAAGAGCTGCTGCAGGTGCAGGAGTGATAGTGATTGCAGATTCCATAGTCCTCCGAGATGGTCCTCCTCCGCCGAATAATGACGATGTCGCAGGAGCGGCAACTACTGCAGTTGCTCCTAAGGCATTCATCGGAGAGGAACCTCCAGTCGTTTCCCCTACAACAAGTGCTCTTCCTCCGGAGAAGAAGCCCCCCGGAGCAGTAGCCGACGGATCCACGACTTGACCACCACCGGTGGCGTTGCTTCTACTCCTTCGCTTCATATCCGATAGTTTCGGGTTCTGCAAAAGCATGTTGGTCATAGGGTCTATAAAATGCGTCGTTGCACCAGTTGTACCGCTCATGTCGTCGTCTCCGTCGTATAATGGTGATTGGCGAGCCTGTCAATTAGGGTGAATAGATGGCCGTGGCATCGGTAAAGAAAGCGAGTCTTGAAAAAAAAATGTTGAAAAGCATGGTGATCAGTCGAGTGATACTGATAGTCATTGACTCCAAACAGATCAAATAGATCAATTACCAGTGGTGTCGGATCACTCGGAACCAAGGGTGACAATTTCTCCCATCCCGATCCAAACTTTGGTATCGGTTTTGGCAGAGGAGGCCTTGACACTCCGTCTCCTTGTTCCCCTCTTTCTTCTCGGTCATCCACTACTACAGATGATGTCGGAACAGCAGGTGATATCACCGCAGGAGCTTGCCCACCGGGATCACCCGGAGGTCCTCCATCCTCAATCGCTCCACCTAACTGTCCGCCAACACCTCCACTGAGTGCGCGTTGATGTTGTGCTCTCTGCATAGCCGCGTCGATGCGCATTGACCGCGTGTTCTTCTCGTTATACCCTATGGCTCCGTCACAGAAATAGCAGTGCTTCTTCGGATACACTTCGGGGAGACGAGGATTAGAGGGAGGTATGGGTTGCTCCTTTTTGCCAAGAAAAAAAAAGGTCTTACTCAGCAATGTTGAATGACATTTATTTACAGTGTTGATGAATCTAGGATCATGCGTCTTCATCGAGCCAAGTCGTGTTGAAACCATAAATTCACTGCACACAAGACTGCATGACTTGCTTGCTCCAAATATGTGCGCTCTCCACATCTTATCTCGCAACCTCCCTAAATTCGGATTCGCATTCACAGTAGCCTCTATTCTGACACGTGCTTCTGGAAGCACGATTGGAGTCCCTGTTGGTCCTCCTCTACAGGCCACTGCTGGATTGCCATTGTTCTTGATTGATGTAGGATCCTTATCATCGCAGTTATCTCCAGCACCATCTGTTGCTCCACCAAGGTCGACCACCGAATACCTCTTTCTCACTTCCTTCAGACAGTAAAAGCACTGAAAACAGTGTTTGTGCAACTTGATCTCACCACAGCGACCTCCGAAACAGGTTAGTGGACCGGACAATTCCTGCATGCAGGCTGGACACTTGGGGACGCACGCACGGCAAAGAAATTTCGTATCCTTGAAAGACTTGCTTTCGTCATCCTCTTCGAGAGAGGGAAGGACGTGATACGAACCTGAAGTGTGCAGTTGTGAATCGTGGAAGAGTGAGTAGAAACGCTAAGACGAGTAAAAGGAATTGGTCAGAAGAACGTACTACTGATGAAAAGCAAAGGTACCAAGTAGGTGGTTGCAAATTATCTTCAGTGACAAAAACGGCAACATCTGGCAGTACCTCTCCCAATCCCGACCCTGCATTTGCTACAACGAAAGCAGCCAAGATGAAAAGGCTGTGGAACCCCATTGTGCATCACAGTGCAAAAAGACTCGCCTATCCCAAACTCTTCCCAGCAGAAGACACACCTTTGTGGTCCCTGCAGCGTTTGCTTCCCATCCTGAGCGACGAGTTGCAGTCCGTTAGTCGCTTCTGGAGAAGTGTGCGCGCCCTCCAGAAGTGCTTTTTTAGGACTAGACGCCATTTTCTCTACCGTGGAGCACCTTCCGACACTAATATCTCGTCCAAATTTGAGGCTCAACAATTGTCCTCCGCTTTGTTCCAGCCTACCCGTCGTGAGTGGCACACTTCTCCGAGGCACCGGGTCATTTGCTTTGATGTCTCTTTTCTCTACCGTGGAGCAACTTCCGACACTAAACCATTCATCTACTCATTTTCCTAGTGTCAATCTTGCTTTCCTACAGTTGTACTTTGATTGTCACATGAAAGATGAAGGTGCTTTTTCATCCTAAAAGCTCTCGGGAGACACTGCTCAAACAATGTCTCTTTTCTCTCGGTTTGTCTCTACACCATACGAAAAGTTCTCTAGTACTAGCGGTGTCGATAACCTTTATCGCGCTCTCTTGCGAATACGATCTAACGAAACGAACTACCAGTCAAGTGCCTAGGTGGGCCATTTCTTAATGGCTTCAATATGACACGATATTCACAATAATCAACGCACGCAGAAAACAGAGTCCATCTCATTCAGCACTTTTTTCTCGACGTGCTGAGAGAAACCAGTTTCCTTATGCATCATAATCCATGATGAGGTTCAAGGTTGATGACTGAGAAGCTCGACCATACAGATTGATAAGAGTTGTGAGTGTGACATGCAAAAGCTCTGTTTGACATCAATAGCTCAAGTTGCGCTTGTTCCATAAATGGTGCAGTTGGCTCATTTGGGATGACGCTTAAGGATAAGAAATTTAGAGAGAATGAAGTGGGGGCGATATTTATCGCCCACCTTTGCAGCGATTGTATCAAATCATTGAAGAGTGAGCTATGATAACTGCAATGAAGCACTCTAAAGTATCAACATCTGTTCATAATCGTCTGTCGAGTTCAAATTTCAACTCAGTTATTTTGTTCAAATTGTGCATTTTATGGTATAAAAAATTCATCAGGATGGATTGAAATTTCGACTATATTTCAAAAAAACGGGACTAGTATACCCTTACCCAATCACGTGAGTACTTATGCAACAGTATCAAGTATGTATGGTTCTTGAGAGGATCAGCACATCACACAGTAAATCTCTATGTTCTCGAATCTCAAGTTTGGTAAGGTGTGCTTGCACAGTGGAGACTTGCTCATCCTCGCCAGTCAGTCGCACACGAACGATGGCTTTACGACTCACTCATCGCCGCCCCCCTCAACATTAGCTCCACCTTTAGAGGCTGCTAGATTGCCTCTCGGCCCCCTCATCTTGACCCCTTTTACCTTGTATTTCACGAGAATACAAGGGAAAGGGGGACCAAGATGCCGAGAATGATGGACACGACTAAATGTTGACCATAACACCTGCCGTGCCAACTTATCAAACTATCTCATCCTCATCCTCCTCAGTACCTATGCTTCCATGGCCCTGTGCATGCGATATTCGGCTGTCCCGGTAAATTTGGTACCGGGATATCATCCGGCTTCACGGTTCCGCCATAGTAGTCTGGGAGAATATCCAGAGGCACCTCGCGCAAGAACACTTCTACCTTCTTTTTCATCCCTAGCGTGTCAGCGGGTGGCGGTGATTGTGGAGAAGCTGGGGTGGAGGCGTCCCCGTCGGTCGTCGTCAGGTTATTAGAGTCAGAGAGTTGATGATGCATGATCGTCCCTCTTAATCAGAGTTGATGATGCATGAGAGTCAGAGAGTTGGTTAGGCGTCCCTCTTAATCAGTGCTTTGCGGTTTCATGTGCTTTGCAAGATAATCTGATGCATGTTGTAGTTATGGAGATGGACCACTATAATTTTGTTGATGTCATCCAGGACGATCAGTGTTCCAAGAATAGAGTTGTACAAAATATCCACTTCCAACTGCAACCAAGTTCAACAAAAAATCATCATGTCTCCCATAATCATATCACCCACAAAAGAACCAGCTATACGATCTGGTCGAAAGAATCGGCAGTAGTCCTCGGAGCCTGCATCATCGGTAAAAAAATCACCCAGGCTCTTCACATAGCTCACTCGGTCCCCCTCTGTTGCTGTAGTTGATTTCGATCCATCCTTTGCTGTCGCGAAGGCAGCAGGGGTGCTTAGATGTGAGAAGATCTTCAAGATTGTCTGTATTATGAAGACAAACTATAGTACCTTATGCAAGTTCAACGTTACTAGCGTAAGCTCGAAGTAGCGAGCTAGACTTTATTCTTTATAAAACAGAAGTCTACGGAAAATCAAGAATGTCTTTCTGAAATTTGAGTACTTACTTAAATGCAACAGGCCATAAAGGAGCCCCAGAGCTTATCGACGATGAGGTCGTACTTGGAGACGGATCTGTTGTGCTTCCTGATACTGATTTTGGCAAAGTTCGTCCTATTGTTGTGGCACCTACATTCCCAGCATCGTAGCAGAGCGATTGTTTTTTGGCGGAAGAGGACGAATTTGCGAGGATTAGAACAAGGAAGCCGTGTTGAAAAGAAATACGATCTTCCCCTTGGGGAGAAGACAAGATATTATGCTTCATCAAAGTACTCCAACTCCGATAACTACATCTACAACATGTACTAAGGAGATCACTACATCTACAACATGTACTACCCCCCCGCCTGGATGTACTATCTCCATCTCCAATGTGCTATAAACCACATTTGATTATTAAGGGGAAATTGCAACAAGGGTAGCAAGTTCGTTGCAACAAGGGTAGTAAGTTCGTTGCTAATATAGCCATAAAAACCCCACACCTGTACCGCCACTCCCCGTACCACTCGTTTGGAATTTGTGGCCTTTCGGAATGTTGATGAAGGAGAGTTTGTTGCTTGTTTTCTTGTCCAGCATACCCTTGACCAGCTTCCAGAAGCCCTGAAACAGACTGGGCGCGTTAAGGACAAAAGCGTGCTTTAGCCGTTCTGGGAAATGGTCTTGTAACGTTTTCAGCTGTCATGGGGTTGTGAAAAAACGATAGAAATAAGCAGGGCAAGATCTACTGTGAATAAGTGGATTAGAAGGCAGGAAGGTGCCGATCATAAAGTACAGCATTACAACACTTCTTCAGAACTATGTTGTAAAAGGTTGTTTCAAGACCAAGCCCAACTTCATAAAACCAACCACACCGAAGTTCTTAGATGAAATCCTCCAAAACCACAACAACAGCAGTATTTAATTATACCAGTCCCGTCGAGTAGCTCAAATATCGCCCATGCCACAGAGCCCAGTAACTTACATCAAACACAAAAACGAATTGACTCGCCCCCGTTTTTTTCAACACGTGCTCCTCCATTCGGCACATGTAGTAGGTAATGAACTTCAGGCACGTTTCTAACGAGTACTGATGCGGATTCCACGCTCTCGAACTGCCGAACATTACTGCATTGCCGAATTGGCTTTCTTAGAAAATAAACACTTGGTGTAGCAGAGGCATCTTGGACGAGACGTGCTTGCAAGGGGAAAATCATGGTTGCAGCTGCCCACGACCTAGTAGTTTTCCTGCGATATCACCTCTAGATATCGTAGATACCACCTCAACAAAGTTTATCGGTTCAAGTACATGAAGAAGCGGCTACTAGTGTCTTCAGATGATGATGCGACCTAGTGGCTTTCTTAGAGCTGCATCCTCGACCATGATTTTCCCCTTGCAAGCACGTCTCGTCCAAGATGCCTCATATATCAATAAGATAAAGATGAATTAAAAAGGTAGGCCTTAATTTACGCCCAAGACCAACATGGAGCCAGCATTCAAGGGAACAGTGATTAGAGGTTGAAAGTTGGCATCTCTAGCTCGCATTTCTATGGCTTTCCTACTTGAGATAGCCATAGAGACGCGCATAGAGATGTCAACTCCCAAGCCTTAAAGTGATATCGTTTTGCGTGATTTCCAGTGGCCGCATCTCTTTCACCCAAAGGAGATGCTTGTGGAGGAGGTCGAAAGCCTGAGGTTGATGTTCGAGGTTACATTTTTTGGAAACAAGTCGTAGTGTACTATAGGAAGAGCGAAATAACACAGACAGGCCACATTTCATCTAAGTAGCGTGCTCAAAGAACTACATCGACCTACTCATTGACTGTAACGACAAACCAAGTTGTAGTTGTTATCTGCTTCTCCTACAGGACGACTTTCTTGTCAGAGTCAGTACCTTATCCACATTCCCATTCCGTGCTCTCAAAAATCGTAAGCATGCCTCTTGTGGCGCGTCCTCCTCTTTTTCCTTTAGTCTGGTAAGCAAATCAGATACCTTGGCCGCCTCCTCGGCTGAAGAGGCAGTGAGGGGAGAAGACATCACGTCGAGGGCAGAGAAGTCGTAGTGGACTAAGAACTTATTCTGTTTACAGAGATGAAGTTGTTGTGAGTGAGGATGAGCGTATGAAGAGGCTTGCAAGTTGCAGATACAATTTCTAGATACTTGTCGTAGCTGTAGAATCGGAAAAGTCCTTGTACTAGTAGACAAATCTTGTTAATTCGCAAGGATCGGAAATTGACTCAGCTAGAGTCAACGGCTACAACTCTGTGTCTTTTGAAGCATCTTTGTACTTTCTTTTAACGTACGCATAAAAAAAAAAGCAATTTACAATTTTTCAAGGCCGTTTGCTCGAGCTTCGCTCGTCCATTTGACAGGTGGTCGTGCAGTTTTGCTTATCAGACTGACGTTTTATTTCTGACCGAGAAATCTCTTTTCCACAGACTCGTACGGTAGAAGCAGCCAGACCCATGATACATGCACAAGACCATAGTCTACCGTCGTCTCCAGACTTTTTCCCACTCAAAGTTCTATTTTTTTTCCTACAAAAATGTTGACAGTTGGCATATTATCTTTATCCTCACTGCAACAATTTCACCAGCAAAAACTTGCAAGATACCAAAGAGCAAAACTTGAAGTAGCCTTGAAATAAAAGTCATAAAGAACTCAGGTAGTAGCTGCTTTTGTTCGTGCTAATCCTATCGGGAGTGCTGAAACATGCTTGTTACTGTCTTTGGTTTCAATTTCATGAACCGACGGAGACACTTTGTGGCACACGTTCACGAATCGACGGATTCACCCAGTCTTGCGAATATATTGAAACTGTGAGGGAGTATATGCCCCAAGGCGCCGCACTAAATTTTTGAGGGGAGGGCCTCAAGCCCCAGACCCTTTTTCTCGAAAGACTGCCAGGCAGGAGGCCTCCAAACGCCCAACTTCGCGCCCCCGCGGCTTCTTGCATGTACCCCACAGAGCCCAAGCCCCTGAGGCCGTTCAAGCACCGACGGCCGGGGGTGGGAGCCTTCCGAAGGCGGCAAAGGCGGCAAAGCTTGACCCCCTTGCCGTGTCGCACGTACCCGACAGACCTCCCGGGCGCGGACTCCTCACTGGGGGATTTCCTTGGGGGTGGAGGGCCTCCGACCGAGGGCAGCGGGTGGCAAGGCTTGACCCCTCTCGCCGTGCTGCATGTATCCGACCGAACCCAGGCGGGCACGCCTTGCCCCCACTCCTCCTCGCCTTTGGTCCTCAACCCCCGGGGCGTTTGGTGGCGGCGGACGCTGCCACCAATTTGGGGGATGAGGGCCAAAGGGGCCAGGCCTCGCGACCGAGGCCGCCCCCGGCGGCCTTCTGCCCCCGGAGGCCGTCCCCCTAATAGGGTCCAAGAGTCGGGACGCCTGTGGGGTACATGCGGAGAGCCGCCAGGCGACTCCGGCCTGCCTTTTGAGGCCGGCGCCCCCGGGAATCCTTACACGTCACCACCGCGTTAAAAGGGGCGCGTCTACGCCACCGCCGCTCCATGGTGGCGTAGACGCGCCCTTTGAGGCCTGCCTTTGAGGCCTGCCTCCCTGGTACATATATTACACCGGTGGGGCAAGCTTAGCTAGGAAACAAAACCCCCCTCAAAAAGTTAGATCGAGGGGGGGCCTTCAGCCCTGAGCCCTGGAAAATATATACGTCCGTTGACTCATTCAATATAGTACATACTAGTGTTATCTGTGAATCTAAAACAGTACAAAGTGTTCCCTTCAGGAGTGTTACTGTTTTTGGTTCTAATTTCATGAATCGACGGAGCTCTTTGGAATGTATACTACACTCGTTGGATGTGAAGAAGAGGACGAGGTGGGTGCTGTCGTTGTTGGTTGTCGTGGTTACTTACAAGGCTACATGACTACCGCACCGAAATGACGATAAGATGACTACATGACGATCAAAATCTCCTATGTATACTACACTCGCAATGACTATCCCGGTCGATGCTTCCATGGACCTTTATACCCCAAATTCGGTTGAAACGGTACGTTTGGGACCGGCACGTCATCGCTTTTGCGGAGTCCACCGTAGTATTCTGGCAGGATCTCTATGGGAATTTCGCGACGAAATATCTCCATAGCGCTTTCGGTATTTCCAGTGCCATATCCTCCACTAGGCCTACCAGGTCCTCCTTGTCTGGCTTGGCCTTGTTGACTTCAGATTAGAGGAAAAGTGAAGTTGGTTGATTTGATTGCTGCTAGGATTCAACTCATGATAGATAGATAGATAGGTAGGTAGCCTTAACTGCGTATAGCTGCAATTCGATGCTGCAGGAGACATCGTCGTCATCCGGCTTTCCTTACTAGTTTCTCTGCTTCTTATTCGTCCCATCGATCCAGCTGGCACATCAAAAGCAGCTTGGAATCGATCTAGACGGTCTGGAGATACGTTTTCCAAGCCATAGGAATATATACGAGGGTTAATACTCCTCGACGAAGACGATGGCTCTCCCTGGTTAGATGAAGACGATGGAGAGGAGCCAAGGCTTACTCCAAAGAAACCGGGCAAATCCTTCACATAATCGCGCCGCTCGTCACCGTTTGATGTGGTTTCGTCTACTTGGGATTAGTATTAGAAAAAAAGGGTGATCACCTCAATCTTGTTGAATAGATCGTTGACACATTGAGCCAATTCTTGGTTTTTGGCAGCGAAAAATGGATGTATAGCAAAAGCAAAATCAGATTCTTCTTGGGTCATAATCTAAAGCCAGATCTTTCCTTCGTAGATCCTTCCTTCCTCCGCCACTGCGATCTCCCTCTCGATTTCCCACATCTTCGTCAGTCGTGCCTCCCTCTACTATCTCGACTCCGACGTCAGACATATTACTGCTCCTAGTTCTATTTTCCTGCACTAGTGTTTTGCTCCTGGTGACCATCATGAATTCTCTTGGTGTAACAAAGTCGGCGCCAGACGATGTCCCGCTTGTCCCTTTCGACAGAACTGCTAGTGGAGGTGGAGAAGCATTTCGGGTTGCAGCTGCCCACGACCTAGTAGTTTTCACATTCTTGTTGCTACAACTACTAGTGTCTTCAGATGATGATGCGACGAGTTGTCCCGCTCCTTCAGGAAGAAGATTCTGCGCGTCGTCAGTTGTTGAGGTGGTATCTACGATATCTAGAGGTGATGGCGCACCATCTGAGGTCGGCACTTTGCTGTGTCTCGTAGGAGGGAAACAACAGTTTGAGCCGCTTCTTCGCGTTGACATACTTATCACCGGCCTTGCCCTTGTTGGTAGAGGTGCGCTCGCTTTGTCCCTACTACTAGAGGTGGACTGCTTTGTCCCTACTACTCCTCCGTTCGAATCTTGTTCCTTGCCCACAAACCCTCCACCAGGAGGATCGCGTCGCTTTGTGCTGCTCTCGCTGGCACTCTCACCAGGATCTCCACTCCCACTCGCGCCGCCCGTCCCTACCTTACTTCTCGGGTCTTCGGTTGCCTCCTCTGCGGCACTACCTCCTCCTGGCGTTCTTGCATTTCTCGATTTCGTTCTGCGTTCCCGTCCGACAAGTTGTTTCTTCTTTGATGGTGTCTCCGATCGCCTCAGAGCACTTGCTGACAGCCGCTGTTTGGATTAGAGTGCGCAAGGCTGGCGTGAATAATCGGAGCATGGGATAGGATGGACTCACTCATGTAGTGAAAGTTGTATGGATGCTTATGCTTTGCGTTTCTTCGGATTACTTAAATCTCAACTTGTGAAAGTGTGTAGATTGGCGACCACGAGCAGCACGACAATTCTTTGTTTTTCCTTCTAAGTACAAAAAGTGTTGAGTTTGATGTAAGTATTTGAGAAACTCAGTACCAGTAGCTGTTTGTATATGGAAAGAAAATCTGTTATCATTATCGTCCTTTTCTACTTCAGAAACTTGATAATGATAACAGATTTTCTTTCCAAGTACAAACACCTACTGGTAGTGAGCACGACAATTCTTTGTTTTTCCTTCCAAGTACAAACAGCTACTGGTACTGAGTTTCTCAAACGACAATTTTTGTTTTTCCCAAGTACAGACAGCTACTGGTACTGAGTTTCTCAAACGACAATTTTTGTTTTTCCCAAGTACAGACAGCTACTGGTACTGAGTTTCTCAAACGACAATTTTTGTTTTTCCCAAGTACAAACACCTACTGGTACTGAGTTTCTCAAATACTTACTCAAAAAAAAAAATGAGTTTCTCAACATAATTGGGAACATCGATAAAGACGCATTTCGCCATCGTCTTCTTGTCCACCATGCTATTGGCGATGCGGTAGAAGGCTTTGAACATTCTTGGCGCGTTGAGAATAATGGCATATTTCAGGCGTTCCGGGAAGCGGTCTTGGAGCAGGCGGATCTGATATGGTGGTCACAAGACGAATGTTTAGAAACAAACACAAATGAATTAACCAACTCCCAAAATTTGGTCAAATTACGCGAGAAATTTGGCAGGAAAGGATAAAAACGACAATTATTCAGTTGCTTAGAAACTCAATGAAAAACCTAAAGATCTAAGTATGGTTATATACTATCAAAAAGCGGTCTTGGAGCAGGCGGATCTGATATGCATATGGTGGTCACAAGACGAATTTTCGACGAAGCTAACATATATGAATATTTGAAGGCAAAAGGTTGTCCGTCGAGGTCCCTGATCGTTTGTGCTTGAAGAGAATGCTGTGCAGCAGGCCGTAGCAAACACGCTCACACTCATCTCTCACAGTGCGGGTCAAGAGCATGGCCAAAGGACGATAAATGCTGATGAGGCAAAACTTTCACACGTAGCTCTACCTGTAACACACCGAGAACAACAAAAATAAAGATTCAATGAAAATACCTCCTTACACGTCGAATTATATAATTAAAATAGTGGGTCGTGAAATACCATACACGTCGAATAGCTCAGGTATCGCGAATGCCACAAAGCCCAATAAGCGACGTCACATAAAAAAACGAACTGGGAAGCGCCAGCTAGCTGTATGGTCTGCTCTATTCTCGTCATGAAGTAGGTCACAAATTTAATGCAGGTATCTAGCGAAAGAGATTAGAAGAAGCTTTTTGATTAAAGGAATCAGAAGAAGGACTCTCCTGATGAAAGAGATTATAGAAGAAGAGGGCTAAGGCTTTGATTTGAAGATGGGGATGAGAAGAACGCCAGGCAGATAAAGTGCTGCGACGCGTGTACACCGCTTCGACTGGCATCGGTCCCCTCACTACAGAAATGAGTCATATACATATTTGAGGAAAAATCAATGCCTTAATATTGATGCGGATTCCATGGATAGGACGTCGCGTACCATATCGGATTCCCAAACCGATTCACACCCAAAACACACAACGAGCCTGAGTTCAAGGGCACCGTGATATCAGCTTGGCTTCCCTTAGATAGAAAGTCAGTACTGGCATCCTTCGATGCATCCATAGCATCCTTCGATGCATTTCTACTTTTGGGCAAGGATGCTGTGGAGGACGCAACTGCGGTAGCCTTAATTATCCGCTCCAGTGGCCTGGTCTGCTCTAGCCACGCTAGATGTTTTAAAACAGCGTCAGTTGCTTTTTCCACGCTGTGCTGTCTCGCGCGTAGATATCGCAAGCACATCTCGTCGGTGGGCAGCCAGCAATCCTTCTGAACTTGCTTCTCGACTGCCGTTCGCACAGCAGTGAGAAGGAACTCCTCCTCGAGAGTGATGCAACTCATCTTTTCTCGTGCTTGTAGGTCTGTGACTTATTATGGTGCAAAGTTCTCAAAGGATCGCTCATGATCCCGCAATATGCTCATGCGATCGACCTGGCCCGCCACGAATGATCTTGTTACTATTGCTTTCGATAACAGAAACAGGTGTGAACAAGTTCTGAAACAACTCCTTATTTCGTGTCATTTGATGTGAGAAAGCAGTCCCAGGGATAGACAAAGCTCTACAGCATCAAGATTTGGAGCTTCTGATGAACACCTTCAAGAAGGGGATGTTGTGCTCGCTGATGTGCTATTGCTGAAATCGCTGCGATCGAGGTGGATAGGAGAAGTATCTCCAGTATATTTACGTTTATCCTGCTCGTCCTCAATACAGGAGCTATATAATCTGTTCAAAAACAGGAGGACCGAGATATCTGTGAAGACAGCTTTCTTGTGGCCTTAGAACTAAGCGGCTTTTATTCCCGGGTGGAAGAGTGTAGGAATCTCTTCCCGAGAAGCGTTCGGCTTCGTCACAGGCTATTTGGCAAAAGCATTTTTTGCTTTGCGGTTCGTTCGGACCAAGTCGGCAACGTGAGTTCACGAATGATTCTAGGACTGCTGCTACTCTTTCCGGCACAGGCAGCACGCAACTGAGTAGTAGTACTTGTCGTACGTGTATTTGAGTCTTTAGGTGGGAAGTCCTTATCTGAGCCCGTAGTCGTTGTATCACCGCCGCCCTTGTCTTCTCCTACAACCCTGGTGTTGTCCTTGACATGATCGTCCCTAACAACATTTACATTATGATTTCTGTCTCCACCAATGTTGTTCTTGCCCTCCGCGTCTGCTCTGAGCCGTGCCCACATTCTCTTCTCGTGCCAGTCCTCAGGCTCAGGGCCCCAGTCACCTTGGAAAGCGGGTCGCGGAATACTAGGGAAGAAAACATACCGTGTATTAAAAAAGTGAGCGCTGCACCGCTCTAAATCTGCCATGACGGGGTCAAAACCTTGGAAAAGAGAGCTGTAGACTGCTGGGGTTAGAGAGTGGATTTTGATGCAACATGATGAAAAGTCTTTTTGATGAGAGTGAACAATGAAGGTAAAGCTAGTTGTCTTAGCTATCGTATGCCCGTCCTAATCCTCCTAATTATTTCTTTGTGGAATTCCAGTCAAGGTGCAGAGTCAGGGTTGATGCGGACACTGCAATCAGCCTTCTCCCTATTCGACGCTTGACGTTGCAGCTGCGGTTGTTCTGAGATGAAGATAGAAGTACGATGAACGAAGATAATGGCAGTATTATGGATACTCGATTTTTATCACCCAAAAGTAAAGAGCAGCATTCATCTTTTGCAGTAGTTTGGTGCCTCGTTGAGAAAACAACTTCAACTTTTTCCTAAATGAATCTGCTCCATAATTTTGTCTCTTCCTAGATAAATCTGCTCCTAAATCTGCTCCTTAATTTTGTCTCGTCCCACTCTTCGCATCTCTCGAAGACCAGCCATGAGAAGCAGTGGGGCAGTAGATCTCCCATATCTTAATAATAATAATCTACCCATTCTGGGGAACCATTTTTTCTTTTGGTGCTGGAGGTGGACTAAAATACGGGTTGCAGTGGACAGGTACTGAGGGTCAATCCAGAGACAGATGGTCTACGAATATGGCACTTTTGTCGTTCTGGATGGAATCAATAGAGCTGAGCATAGAGCAAGAACTCCATCGGCAGAGAGTGTCAGACAATTGTAAAAGCCAGCAACTATCCCCTTAACAAGAAGAAGTCAATCCTTTCCGCAAAATCATCTTCTATGACAAGAGTCGCCCTTTCTGCGTGAAAGAGGTGTCCTCTCGCTTCGAATTTAGAGCTTAGAAGGAGAAGACGTTGGATGAAGATAAAGGTTGGAAGCGATAGTGTGGGATGCTTCTGATCAGATGCTTACGAGAAACAATACCGCTGGACACCCAACAAATCTAAGAGCCTTAATTTCCTCCATTTGTTCCCGTCAATTTCTGGATATGGAAAGGCAACTCGGCAGCTTTGATAACAGAAGTGGCTCCCTCTGCTCCTAAGCAAATCGTGTAAGTGTTTTTTAAGACACTGCTTTCGGTGTGTCCAAGTGTTCCGCGGCATTGCCAAATACAGAAGCGCGGAGCATTGCTAAAGAATACGAGGATTTTTCATACTGGAGAACAATGCGAGAAAGAGATATCGGTATTTTCAATAGTCCGAGAGAAAAATGTAGGAAATTCTCAGCAATCCTTCACACGGAAGTTTGTTTCCTTCTGCGTACAGGATGCGCTGGTTTCGGAGTTTCTGTCTCTTCAGGCTGGCTGGTCAAGAAAAATTCTACAACATTGCTGCATACGAGCTGCAAATCGGGGATACACTGATGTCCAGAAGCGCATCAACATCGCGTAGATTGATCTTACAGATCTTTCTTGAACGAAGAAATCACAAAGCCGTATTTGTTTGATGACGGATTAAGCAGCGAGCGTGGCTATGAAGATAAGTCCTTGAGGCACACAAAGGAGTATTCCACACACCGCATTCCTTCCTCGTCCAGCCGACTACCATTGGTGCTCGTGAATCAGGATTATAGGCTACGAGGTTATTCGCCGTCCACAGGGAAAACCTGTATCCTCGAACGATATTTCTGATGTAGCAATGTCATCGCATCTTCTTGACTGTGGTCTGTTGAGTGAGCATTGTCCCAAAGTGGGCTTGTTTTTCTTTTCATAATTCCGACGAAAAGTAAGATACTCTGTTTTGCTGAAATAGAGCTGATGACTCACCGTTGACGGGTTTCACATGTCTCGTATTTTTTCGACCAAGCTGTCAACTTTTTACCAAGAAAATTGTCTTTTTGACAACGACTGGAGATACTGTACAAAAGTAGAATTTATGCGTGCGATGAAAGAAGTTTCAACTGAAGTTCAAGTTCAAGTACGAACATTTACCACTTACTTTGAAGTTGTAAATGAACGTAGAACTAATCATATGGATAAGACGTCGGGGCAAAATATTCTAGTTGTAAGATTCCTCGCAGTATTGTTTTTCTGAAACAAGGTCCACTTTAAATGGTGTGCCAGAATTGTTCCTAAACTTGTACAAGGTAAATCGACGTAACGAACATCAGAAAGACATACTTCCCAGAACATTTTGATCATCTGACTTTGTAATTTTGTAGACAAATCAACTAGGCAGTGGTATGGATACGATCAACATTTTCTTCGACGAGAAATTCTACAACGGTAATGTACGAATGCCTTTCAATAATAACGGACTACGTTTCTTCCCAATGAGATACGTACTCAAAAACACTTTGCCTTTCATTCTGTCTAGCAATGGCCTGCAAAAAAAACATTTACCATTAAATATTCAAATTAATTGTCGTAGGAAAAAATAATAATAGCGGGGGCGAGGTGAGCCCGGGGCGGTGCGGGCTGTTCACTACAGCACGCCGTGCGCCATCAGGCACAAGATAAGAGGACCAGCCTACGGACTACCTCAAGGTCCGGAGCGCCTCCAAGGCGCAGAGTTGGCACTTGGCAAAAACTCGGCAGCTTAGTTAAAAACCGGACCGCCACGCCAAGGCTCTGCTGTCAGTTCGGAGTACAAGAACGGGAGCAACAAAATTGCGATGGTTGCTGCGTAGGATCCGCGCACATCTGAGAGCCAAAGAAAAGCGACAAAATTGCACTGCAACGAATTCAAAGGGAAGGCAAAACCGGTAAGCCAAAAGGCCAAAACTGCTCAGCGAGGCTGGGTAGGAGGCGGCATCTTCAGAACCGCAACCACGAGGTAGGTAGTGGCAAAACAGCAAAACGCCAAAACTGCAAGGGAGAGCCGGCGGAGGGCGTGGCCACTCCCCACCAGCGTCCGCCCCCTGTGCGATTTCTTCCCCCGCGATCGCACACGGCCACGCGGCGATCTCCGTCTGCCCGCGGTAACCGGGGGGCGCACTCTCTGAGCGCAGGCCAAGCGGTGAGTTGAGCTGGCGCATCCGCGTAGAGCTGACATAAACAGCAAGGCCGGAGACGAAGGCCAGACTCCGTGACCCATTTGCTCCTGGGCCCATTGACTAGGGTGGCGCCAGCTACTTGGGCGCCTCTCGAACCAGCTCCCGCCCACTGTTCGCGGATGCTGCGGAGCATGTTCCGACGCGTCTCCTGTCTGGCGATGTGCAGGCTGCTAACCGCCGCCCCGCTGGGGCGGGGTACTGCAAGGGCCGCCAGAGCACGAAGGGCGGCCGCCTCTTCTTCCGCGGGCCTACTCCTGGCCAACCGATGCCCGTAAGCGCGTGGGGCTCGGATTGAAAGGCCGGCGGCCCAATATACCAGGCGACGCGCAGCGAGTGGCGCGCGAGGCGACGGCGCCTACTACATCACTTACGAGGGGCGCGCCCGACGTGCCCGGGAATCCACTGAGGCCGCACCTCGTGGAGAGCCGAGCCAGCAGCCTCGAGCACCCAAAGGCGCTGCGTCCCCGCGCCGCCTGGGTCAGACCTGCCCGCGCACGCGTTGGCGACCATGTCCACGAGACTGCGGCAATCCGTTGGCAGGGTTGGCCTGAGCTCACGCGGCGCCCTGGCGCGGCCCTTCGTTCTTTTCCTCGTGCCTGCTTTTCGCGACAGCCAAGAGAAGGCCGATCGTGGCGGCTCTGGTTTCCATGGAGTAGCTGGAGTGGAGGGGACGCCGCCGGATTGCTCCACTCCCGCAACAGCCTCGCCCCACCCTGGTAGAAGGCGGCAGCTCCTGCCGCTCCTACTTGGTTGCGCTGAGGGGTCCGCCCGTGGTAGCATCCTCGTAGGAAAGAGCCTATCCTCATATCTTCACTAATTGCAATGTCCTTAACACGTCAACTCTTCCATAATAATCCATCATCACAGCATTTTTATCATCTATTTCAGTGTAGTCAGCATTAACGGTGGTCTTCAATGACCCAAAATGCTGCAGGTAACTTTCTTTGAAATGAAAAAGATTCTACTTGGAACTTTGAAGTAGAATCACAGAAGACACGATAGTGTTCGTAGTGTCTGTCATCATTGATGAAGACACCCATACAAGTCATGACTGTTCAAGACTGGCAGAGTAAATCTACATCTGCCTTGCTCCACAGGTACGTAACCGCAAGCCACTTTCCAGATCTTCATGGTAGAAGTAAATAAATTGAAACCATAGATTTTGACAGGAAAACAATGTAGATTTTGATGCTTTGCTTTCGATGGTCGTAGCATTTAGACCTATGACTTATTTATTCTGGTACTTAATGTCTATACTTTGTCCTGAATCTTGTACAGTACTGCGTCAATAATTCGTAATGGTAAGCATTCGAAAAATAATCTTTTTGACTCGATCGAAATGTACCTTCTCGAAGCAGTCTAACATTTTGCTACTGTATACCACTGTAAGAATCAACTACGAAGTACAATCTTCAGACAACACAAAGAGTGACTATCTCTGACTTTCACTAATTCCTGACAAAAATGATGTCAAGATCTATCTTTCACACATAAGGTGATACAGACTTCTTGTGACAAATCGAATTCGAATAAGAGAAGTAACTAGCTACTACTTATTCTTTTTTCTCCCTAGTACTAGAAATATATCCCCGTAAATCATCACACCATCTTCATTCAACTAAGTGGCAGAGTTCCAATAATTCTTTCATCTTCCCAGCACTAGAAATACTTACTTATATCCCCTATTGGTTCATCAGTCTAGTATCTTTGCCCTGTTGGATCATTCCCACAATCTGCCCAACAAGGTGGTCTCTTCCTCTTCTTCGCGATCCTGGTGTCGAAGTGGTGAGCCTTCCTCCTTCTCTGGCAAGCCTTCTTCGTTCTGTGGCGGATACGGTGATGTGGAGTGACTTAGAGGAGGAAAAATTGGAAGTCCCAATCGGAACCGGAACGCCAGGGTCCATGATCCACCATTCAAATATTGCTTGCAAGATAGACGGAATAAGAAGGTGAACTACTTTGATCTTCCATTTTTAAAACATTTCCTCGGAAGTCCGTGCACGACATTCGCATTCGCCTTAGAATTCAAGAAACTACTGCACTTCAAAGAAAGAAATTGATTGCATCTATGCAGACATTTCATCCTGCCGATGCCATAACTTATAAGCAAACCGTTGTCCCAGGTCGGGCACGATGCTGCGATCAATGCGGATCTCAACATCTCCATCGCCATGCTTTCTACCGTTGCAACAGCACAGTCTCAAACGTGGTACCCGAAACACCCAAATGCCTCCACGACGCAAACAGACTAACACAAATAGCACGACGACCAGCAGAGAGATTGCCGTGGATATTAGAAGATAATGCGGCTTATTTTTGAGAAGGATCATACACAATATTCATTCAAGAAGAGCATCGAGACGAAGATGAAGAAAGGCTATTCATCTAATCAATATGTATGAGCCTTTTCTATTTTAATCAATATGTATGAGCCTTTATTTTAATCTATTATTAAGCTATAATTTTTCATCTTTTTAAAGTGTGAAAACTGTAACGCGCGCGCGCGCGTTACGCGCGCGGGTTGCGCGCGCGCGCGCGTTCCGCGCGCGCGTTATAACGCGTTACGCGCGCGCGCGTTGCGCGCGAAGTAAGGCGCGCGCGCGTTACATGCGCGCGCGCGCGTAACGCGCGCGCGGGGAGGGTGCGCTCGCGACCGGGCTCGCCGGGGCCGGCTCGGGCTCGCCGGGGCCGGCTCGG